AGAGTAAAAATATTAAATGTCTGCAATGGAGGAGAGAACCTGAGACGAGTGTGAACACTGTGAATAAGAAAAGATGAGTGTGAACACTGTGAATTAGAGGTAAACAAGAAATGGAGGAGCATAAGAAAAGGCTTACATTTATTGTAGGGGTGAAAATATATGGAGAGTGAAAGACCTCAGCCAAAGGGTAAAAATGGAATTTAGATAAAAGAGAGAATATGTGCTGTCGATTTTAAAAAGGAGATAGAGAGGGAGTGTGTTTAAACGTATAATCAGTTTCTTGGAAAAAGTGGGGAACATAGTTGACTTTGTAGCACAATAGCTACTTATTTTGCAAAATCACAAGCTCAAATCTTTTGGATATAAACATTTTCAAATGGATTTATTTGGATAAAAATATGATGGTTTATATTTATAGCTTTCTAAATTCATCCAACTTAAACTTTAAATACTACCTTTCTATTTTGATAATATAAAAGAAGTACTACTTATGTGTATTGTAGACATTTGAGCTATCATATATGATGTGAGATAACACGGATAAAAATATGATGGTTTATATTTATAGCTTTCTAAATTCATCCAACTTAAACTTTAAATACTACCTTTCTATTTTGATAATATAAAAGAAGTACTACTTATGTGTATTGTAGACATTTGAGCTATCATATATGATGTGAGATAACACCCACTGGTTGGTTCGACCTAAGAAGCGGTCTAATCGCGCATCGACAAGTCGATATTGGAAGTCGTCAGATCATCAGGTCGATGGTGACTTCTTAGGTAAGGAGGCTCGCTGACAGGTCGAGCTAAGACCCTCGAATAGCCTGATAAAAACTTGACTTGAAGGTATACAGGCTGATGGATCGACCTGAGCAGAAACAGAGCTAGGATTTGAAATATATCAGGGCTAGAATTATTTTGATTAAAATTCGTTATTTTGAATTATTTTTTACTAGCATGATTTAATATTTCAACTTATCAAGCCTTTAATTTTAAACTTATTATTAGTAAAAATAAAACACACGAAAAGACAACTATGTACTATATGTAAAGGACAAATTAATAACTAAGTTCTAAAAATATAATTTCTGTAGATAAATAGTAATATGTATATCATGAAATAATATTTATTTAATTAGCCCTAAAATAATATTTTTTTAATGTTAAAATAGTTCGTCAATAAAAAAAATGTCATATTCCAACAGAAAATTTCACAGCAATATATTCAATGGATATTCCAATGAAATTATAGTTTCTGTTGGAACGGTTCCAATTGAAATTCCAATGAAAAAGTTCATTCTAATGGATTACTTTTATTGGAATATTCGTTTGAACCAATTGAAAATTTTCAACAATAATAATAGCAATGGAATGTCCCAATAGAATTGTCGTTAGAATTCTATTGGAATATATTTTTGTTGGAATTTTCTATTGAAATTTTATTATTTTCTTGTAGTGTGTATTTGGTAATGATAAATAATAAATAGCATTGAAAAAATTTATTTTTACATTCAACGTGAATGTCTATTTGTAATTATCAAAAAATTATTAAATCTAACTCTATAAGATATTTATAAAATACGAACAAAAGAATATGCATACATAAACTAATAAAAGTGAATATTCTTTTCACAATATTTTTTTAAGAAATAGATTTCTCAGGAAGTTTTAAAAAAAAAAAATTATTCAAACAACATTTAAATTTTAACTATTACACTCATTAGTTGAATAGTTTCAAAAGTTGATTATATGGTAATTCAAAACTATGATATTGTGTTATTTTTTTTGTCTTATTGGTATTACTTTAATTTTTTAATTACTTGGGCATACGGGCTTTGAAACAAGAAGTGTGCGACTATATAAATTGACTTCATTTTTTACATAAAAAATACTCAAGATATTTTAAAATTTACCCGCGCTACAGCCCAAGTACATTCCAATGTACCTTCGCCCCTAGACCTGAGGGACATTGTGCACAAGCACAACAAGAAGATAATCTAGCTCAAAGGAAGTCGACCTGGTCGCATTTTTATACCGTCTAACAAGGCACGCTAATGGGTAAGAAGGAATATAATTAAGATAAGAACCACACGATTGGACTACGTGGCCTAACAGAATTAGGCAGTGCAGGCGCTCGGCTGTACGAACTGGCAGCTCGGACACTTGAATAGCTCATCCGGGCAGTCTTGTGCAACAAGGTAACGCTCCTATATAAAGGGGTGGGGTATGGCAATCTAAACTCTACACACTCAATATACTTATAAGTTTATACAATATTGTTCATCATCTTCTTCATACATTTTCTGACTTGATCGTCGGAGGCTCTACGCCAGGACCACTCCCATCGCTGTTTTGCAGGTCTTTGAACTGGACGCGAGTGGATATATGGTCTTCCAACCGGTCAAGGTCGTTGAGCTCACCATCTTGGCGTCGTCTGTGGGACTTCTATTAGAAAGCCTTCAAACATCACTATTCATGGCGAACGACGATCCTAGGAAAATTTTGGAGCCCACTTTCGACGAGGCTTGGGTCTCCACGCGACCATTTGGAGCAGTCCCCCCATTGGGCTTCTCAAGGTCGAGCCAAACGCCGGTGACCCTGGTGGTTCATGCTACTCTTGTAGCAGTTAGAGGACAGATCAACCAGCATGGAGGTGGATCGGGTGCTGAGGTCGCTCCTATGCACCCTATACAACCAGATATGGCCCAAGTCGAGCAAACGGGACCACCGACCGATAAATTAGTGCCAGCATGACAAAATGTCGTCACCTTGATGAAGGAGGAGCTTAACAAGATGATAGTCGATGTCGTTGCAGCTGGATGCACCTAGCAGCAGATGTCGAACGCAGTAACCCTTACTGCAAAGACGAGAAAGGAAACAAAAGTAAAGATCTTGAGCAGCATGGCTAGAGGAGCCCATCGCGACCCTGCGGTGGAGAGAATGATAGAACAAATTAGGGAGTTGCAAGCTAAGGTCGAAGGAAAGAAAATAGAAAGAGCTCATGGGCATCCCTTTGCTCAGATGATCTTTGATGTCGACCTGCCGAATGGATTCTGACAATTAAGCATTACCTATGATGGGTCCCAGCTCGTCATTTAAGGTCTCTTGAGAACATGGATGTTTTACATGGCTACTCGGATATGGTGAGCTGCAGGGCATTTATGGATCATGAGGAGAAGCGCATGAATTGTTTTACCAGCTTACCCCTGGGTCAGTTAAGGATCATGAGGAGTTTACAAACATGTTTCTTAACCATTTCATGAGTGCAAGGTCGCAAGAGAAAACCTAGCACACTGATGGCGATGCAGTAGGAGCATGAAGAAACATTGCAGAGTTATGTTGGTCGGTACACTCATGCGTGTGTCGAGGTCCCTTCAGCCTCAGAGGAGGTGAAGGCTGGAAGATTGACCAGAGCTTGCGAGTTGGCCCCTATATGTTCTTGTTGGTCAAAAAGCCGGCGTTGACCTATGATGAGGTCTTGAAGAATCGAAATAAGTACCTAAACATGGAAGAGTTGGAGGCCGAGTTTGCTAAGTTGGAGAATCTATCTCGATTTGAGAAGAGAAAGGAAAGAAGGAGCTCGCCAAAGTAAGAGAGATCGGAAGGAAAACGAGAGGATAGGTGGAAAGGTCGATCTGTGAGGGATGGCAAAAGGTACGATAAATACACTCCATTGAGGTCGAATTTGACAGAGGTATTGGAGACCATGATAAAAGGATAGATGGGGATAAGGTTACATGGCCGAGATCAAGAAGAGAGGGCCCTGACCAACCCAAGTATGACATGTACTGTCATTTTCATTGAGACTATGGTCACATGAAGAACAATTGCAGGTGCCCAAAGGATGAGATCAAATGGTTGATTAGAGCTGGTCACTTGAAGGAGTTCGTGTACAAAATAGCGAGAGACTTAAGGAAAGCGATTTAGGAGCATGAGGTCAAGGTCGAGGACGATGTACCTCTCAAGAGAGGGGATCCATATGGTTTATGAAGGACCTATCGACAGGGACTCCAACAATGCAAGGAAGCACCACGTCTGAGCTGCAAAAAGAAAAAAGAAAGGGGTTGGGCTCACAGACAAGGAGCTCGTGATTAGTTTCAGGTGGGGAGATGTCAAAGGGGTCCGCATCGCCATAATGATGCTATAGTGATGGTAACGCAAAACACTCCGACCGGCTTGAAATCGGCTCGTCTTCCTCCTCCTCGCCGGTAGAACGTCGCGTGTCTGCAAAGAACTCTCACACCAGGGGGTTTTTCCGGTGAAGAGCCTCCGATGCTTAAGTATGTATGTGTTTCACTCAATTCTCCAAAGTAAGAATATAGATAAATCGTAAGTCACAAGAAAAGGGCTCACTCCTACATATATAGGAGTGAGATACCTGCCCTAGGAGCTGCTCGAATTTGGTGAGCTGTCCTACCCGCGCTGCCCGTCCGTACACACACAGTGTGCGTGTGTCAGAGGTGTCAAAGGTGGTTATCGCCACTATTACTCTGCACCAATGTACTCTCGCCACGTGTCCCTCTGAGCAGAGGGAGATTATTCTCTGCACATTCCGTTAGGATCTTCTGACGAAGTCCACGCGCTTTCTCGCGTTCAGGCCACGCCCTCGATTGCTCTTCACCTGTCGGGTGCTTGATCTGACCGAGTCCCCCTTCGCCAGGCGAACATCGACCAGATCTGCTATCCTGCTCGATCATTTCCCTTTTGGTCAATTATCGCTCGACCAATACAGCTTTCTCGACATCGAGCTCGCCCGGCCCACGTGGTAAACCGGTCTATTCTTTAGGCATATAATATCCCATATCATGTGATCTCTGCAGAGGTCGTTGGGTATGAGGTCCAGTTTATATTTATCGACACGGGGAGCTCGGTGGACGTGATATTTTATGACTGTTTCAAATTGATGGACTTGGATGTGGAGCTGAAGGAAGTCAGCACGTCATTATTCGGACTTATTGGAGGACAGTTCGTACCAGTGGGAGAGGTCACTCTCTCAATAGCTTTGGGGTCTGGGATAACAAGGAAAATAAAGTTGGTGCGATTTCTGGTCGTAGGAGTCGAGTCAACCTATAACATCAATTCGGGAAGGTCAAGTTTGAATTCGTTCAAAACAGTGGTATCCACTTACCACGTGAGAGTCAAGTTTTTAGTAGAGGAGCTAGTTGGAGAGGTCGAAGGAGACCAGCTTGCGACTAGATCTTGTTATTAGATAACAGTCGGGGTGGAAAAGCATGCTATTAGAGGCCGATCTGATGATGTCGGCGAATGAGGTAGGCTCGTCAGCGATCACTGCGTGCAGCTCCTCTATCACCAGCACGCGCGGAGTGAAGCCTCGTGGCGAGGCCGACCTGATGATGTTGTCGATGCTAGAAAAATATAGAGGAGCGCCATCATCGTGGTCGGCATCCAGTATGTCGTCGTCGATTCTGTCTGGTGAATCCGGATCCAGTTCGTCCCCAGCCACGTTGGGAAGCGACTACTGCTCTCCTGGTGCTCCTCCTCCAGGTGCCTCAACGACGTCATCAGCCTCATACGCGATCTGGGATGTGGTGATGTCTTCCACTATAAACACGTCCCCGCTGCCACTTAGCTCGCCGTTGTCGCTGTCGGTGACCCTGTCCCACTGGCTTGCTCATCGTACACCACATCACGCGTCATATAGTCACGCTTCAAGACGGGGTCATAAGTGCGGTATGCCTAGGTGCCGCACTCGTAGCCGATGGAGATCATCTTGTGGCCACGATCCTCCTGCTTTTTCAAGTGCGACGTCATGTTACGCACGTAGACAACGCAACAAAAAAGTTCTGAGATGGTGCACCGCCGAGTTCCTCCCGTGCCATGCCTCGAACGATATCATCCCTTCCAAGCTCATGGTCGAAAACCTGTTCAGCACGTACATAGCAGTGATGACTGCCTCACCCCAGAACCATCCAAGCTGGACCTTTGCCTTGAGCATGCCCCTTACTGTTTCTACCACCGAGACATTGCAGCGTTTGACGATGCTGTTTTGTTGCGAACTATAAGGCGCCGTGTGCTGACAGTACACTCACTCGGCCGCACAATAGTCTAAAAACTCGATCGCGGTAAACTCCCTTTCGCTATCAGTGTCGAGCGCCTTTAGCTTAACACCAGACTCACCTTCAGTCGGCACCTGAACCTCCTTGATGGCAGCCACGGCACGATCCTTTGAGGGAATCACGGCTACCCACATGTATCTGCTGAGTTTGTCCACTATCAGCAGAAAGTACATGTTTTCTCTAAGCGTCCCTAGCATCATGGGGCCGCACAAGTCACCATGCCCCAGCTTGAGACACTGTAGTGCACGGTACTCCTCTTGCGCTGGGAAAGAAGTTTTCTTCTGTTTCTGGCTTGGCACGCGTCGCAAAACTGGTCGACGACCACACACCAAATCCTCCCGAGACAGCTTCCTAAGTGCCACAATATTGACATGGCCGAAGCGCTCATGCCAGCGCTACACAATCTCGTCGCCGCGCCCGTTCACTGCCAAGCATGATGGCTGCGCTACCTTGATGTGGAGCTCATACAAGCGGTTGGTCACCCGTGTCACCTTCGCCAACAACTGTCCGTCGGGATCTCTGATCCTCAAAACCCAATTGCCGATGTTGACCTTGTAGCTACACTCTTCTAACTGTCTGAGGCTGATTATTTTCACCGTCAGTCAGGGAATGAAGTAGACGCCAGAGAACGACCGAAGCTCCCTGTTATTTCATGTGAAAACAACACTAACCAAGCCCTCGATTTGCGCCACTGAGTCATTGTCGAACCGCACGGTGCCGAGCACCGCCTTGTCCAAGCTTCCAGAACACGGCCCTGGATCTGGATATGTGATTGGTAGCGCTGGTGTCCAGGACCCATATCTCAGCCTTTCGCACTTTTTCCTCATTGAGGACGGCGAACACTTTCTCCTCACGAATTTTGATTGGGGCGCTCGTTCCCATCTGCGCTACTCCAGATCCGCAGCCGCCCTAGAGTGTTAACAGGGCAACACCAGCGCCCCGACTGGCGATGCGCCTTCGTATGTTGGTGGCGTCGATGGGGACTGGAAGGGGGAGGACCATCCTGCGCCAAATGGACCCGTTCTTTCTTGGGTTTCGATCGGCACTCGCGGGCCCAAGGCCCTTCTTCCCGCAGCGCCTCCATTTGTCGAGGGCGGGCTGGTGTGAATTTGGCGGCCTACAGATGACGAACCTCCGCGACCACACTTGAGCCTATCTGTTTTCACGCCGCCACCACCTCATGCGCTGCCGCCGAAATGGTTCTCCCCCTCGTGCTTCATTCGCCGTGCATCCCATTTCTCCTTCATGAGGTACAGTTTCCCCTCACAGCAACAGTAACGTTGGAGATTGTTCATACCCCTCATCCACCTCCTTCTTTTGCCCAGTTAGTTCGGCAACTGTCATATTCGACACGTCAAGCAGTGTCTTGATCGCGATTGAGATCTGCTTAAACCAAGGCGGTAGGGTGCGGAGTATCTTCGCGACGATCTCGCTCTCCGCCAATTATGTGTCCTGTGTGGAAAGGTGTGCCGCCATGCCGTTCAGGCACACCGCATATTCCTCGACTGTTTTGCCGTCCTCAAAAGCGACGAGGTCAATTTTTCAACGTAGTTGTTGCGCCATCGACCTCCTAACACGGTCATCCCCAACCCTCATGGTCGTGACCAGGTGCTAGGCCTCCCTCACCATCTCCTTTTTGGCGATCGTCGGTACCGTCTCTGGTGGCACTGCGTTGCACAAGTCAAGTGCCATCATCTCCTCTTTCAGATAGGCGTCGTCGTCCTCGATCACGCTCCAGAGACCCCTGACCTTCAACTTGACCTTCATCAGGAGCGCCCAATCAAAATAATTTGTCTTGGTGAGAACGGGATAGCTACTCTCGCCGCTCACCTCATGAACCACTCGTTGGATCACAACGTCGTCCTTTGAGGGGCCTTTGGCATTCTTCTTCTCACTCATGGTCATAGGTACGAGTAGCTCTACTGCCAGTTTTTAGAACCTTGTCGGAGCGGTGAGATAGCGGCCAAAACACAAGACACAAAAGAAACTCACTCGAATAAACACGATCTTGTTTGGTGTTGTTGAATTGACAACTTTTTTGATGCTATTATATTGCATAAATAGAGGAATACAAAGAATTAAATAATGCCTACAAATCAAGATTACATGGAAACTATAATAATGTCAACATTCACAACTAATCTAGGGGATGAAAGCAAATAAATTAATTTTGGTGCACATGGATTATATCCTGTAATAAAATAATTCGGACAAAAAATACATTAACAGCCTTAAAACTTATGTTTAGTGAGGATATTCTTGGATATTCAGAAGTTTCAAGAAACTACTCTTTCTTTTAAGAGAGTTCTAGATATAGATTATATATATAGATATAGATTTTACTGACTTTCCTTGTAGAACATCTTTTGGATTTGTCTTTTAACCGTTTAGCAGAACCGGCAATACTAGTAATTTTGACTCTTCTTGGGACACACACATAAAAGTATTTGATATATTCCAAAAAAGGTGATACAATCTTTGTATTAGGAAGGATAAAGATATCGATAGCAAAAAGATATTTGAACTAATTCGTGATCAAGATTGATGCACATGTGAAGTTATTTTATGCTTCAACGAAGTACAAGGTAGACATGCATGGTAGAGGCATGTTATGTCGGCTATAGAATGTTGATACCAATTCTACATCTAAGAATTGATTGTTTTTCTTTTCTTTTCTTATTAATGTGTGTGCTATGCTATGTATGTCACTTTGAGCACTCAAAACTATGAAGTGCCAGTACAAATATTCTTGTGGTCAAGAACCACATTAAGTATTAACAGGTCAAGATATTAGAAAATAAGACGTTGGAATTCTTAGTACTCATATTTAACATGTTGGAAAGGCTAGTCCTAGAAGACATGGATGATGGATCATAAGAATAATAATATTTGTTCGGGATTATCTGTTACATGCTTTATCCTGAATGTTAATTGGTAACAGTTTCTACCTTGGATGAATTCATATTTACAGAGAAATCACTTTTCATGTGATACAGTATTTCGAAAGCCCGTTACGAAACAAACCCCCTATGATATAAAATTTCATATCCATTTTACAATGTACTTAGATTTGACTGTGGGACTCTCCGTGTAATCAGAATCTACACGTTCGAAGTCCCAAACAAAGCCAAATCATGCTTCAAGCCTACAATACATACATTTTCTCAAGTCGGCTATAGTTAATGCAGATACTCAACAAGGCTTATTTTCTAATATCGTGCCTTGTTTCCATATATATTGCCATTTTTCTTGGAGAAGATAGAGGAAGAATATGAGTGAGACCTCGGCTGTGAAAATGATGTTCCAAATCCTAATGTCCTTTGACGTTCGCCTTTTGTAGGCTTGTAAACCGGTGTATATGTTGATAATACCAAGCATGGAAACTGCTATGCCGACTAGCCAGTGAAAAAGAAACCAAATGCTTCTATGTTTGCTTCCCCTGCAAACGAAAAAAAATTGCATATATGAATTTGCTTGCAAAATGTTTGTGTGAAGTGCTTCAATCGATTTATTCTGTACCTTCGTGGCCTAAAGATGCCGAGTAATGCTTGCAACCACATGATTATATAGAAGGCTAAACCTATCCTTTGATGAATGTTGTTGAAAGAGTTGTCGAAGAATTTTATCGACATTATTGCTCCTGCTGTTGCAAGGAGCACTGATAAAACCTGTGTGATTAAAAGTTTCACAAATTTTAGTCACCAAGAAAATTTCAGTTATTCTTACTGAAACAAAACAACTAGGGAAACTTTTTTAGCCTAGTAATTGATTTTGAGGATAAAGCTAAGCACAGTGGTTTTCTTTTCCATTCAAGTAGTCATAATGATTAGGACCCAACTAGACATCATTACATGCAATTTATAAGTCATTAAAAATTGATTGTGGGGGTATCTTAGCTAACTAAACTGAATTCTAATCACTAATCAGTAATGAGATGTCATTAAGACACTGTAGAGATAATGTTTATCATGCAAAGACAACAAACACAGTACTGGAAAAGAAAGAAACAATAACACAAATAATTTTAGCTTAAGATGATTGGTTTTGATTGATAATGATACGGATTAATCGTATATTATCCGACAAACCATAGCTTTAACCCCATAAATCAGTCGAAATAGCTTTTAACCACATAAAGAAGAAACAAGAGAGCTTGCCTGTGCAATAGCATGAACATAGAATATGATTCTTAACCTGCTTCCGGATGCTTCTCTGTTTGACATCCTCTTCACGAGTATTGCAAATGGCATTAGTAAGCCAACTGAAGCCCATAGTAGAAACCCGTGAAGTTTGATCTCGAACAAAAGTTTCGGACTCATCTGGAAAAACAGCTAAAACAGTTAAAACAGGATATGCATGCTAAAAGAACCACATTGAGTTTCTAGTCGAAACATATATACATACCTCTCCATTGTTGCTCGACTTGACATTCTCCATATTCGTTCGTTCGTGAGATGATCCGACTGATGTTGGAAGGTCTAAGATATTGAGACCTATAAAAGTGAGACAATAATCACAATCTTCTGTGAAAACAGCATGTCTTAAATCTTGAACAAAGGATCCTAAACTTTGTAAAAGCGGTTAACCGGGTTCATTGCCGAAGAGAAAACCAGCTGCAGAAGCACCTTTTTCTGTCACTATTTTATTTTTTCTTCAAGTGATAGTTTATTTAATCAGGGTTTATCTTATGAACTAAAAATATGCAAGAAATTCATAAAAAGGTTGCACATTTACTCTGTTAGGGGCCACTTTTTCCTCTTTTGGTTAGCAGAGCCAAAGCTGGACAACTAGAGTAATATATAGCTGTTTGTGTGACTATTTCATTGAGTTTATTGCTT